CTGAGCCTGACAGAATATTGATCATTTTTCAAAGAATTTTGAAAAATGTTTACCAGTTTTACTTGCTCACCCTACCATTGCAAGAGACCAGTGTTATGGGCACAGACTCATCAATGGGTAAAACAACCCTTGATCCTCCCCTGTGAAGGCTTTTCTTTGGCTAGATATAAACTCTAAAGGAAGTGAATGGAATTCTGGCTGCATGCCCCTCACACTGCCCTCTTCTGCTGCTGTCTTTCTTCCTTGAGGGAGCTTGCGTGACTATTCAGAATGCTCTCCCTCAAGCTTTATTTTTTATGCGACTTGCTGCCAGGAGAGTTGGAATTCATTCTGCTTACATTACAGAGAGGAAGTGGAAGCCTGAGTTCCTCCTGCACGGGTAGACAGGAGGGCACAGCAGGAGGAGCTGACTTCATTTCCCAAATGGGTCAGCGTGTGCATCCGAGCCCTGGAGCAAGCTGTTATGGCCCATTGGGAGGGCAAAAAGACTGGAGGGAGGATGGGAGAGAAGAGAGAGTGACAGATGGAGACAGGAGAGCATCGAGAACGGAAGCGGCCTACCTCCAAAATGGTGCTTGAGCTGCACTTTAGAATCACCTGGGGAGGTGTAAACTTTCTGTTTTTGGTTTTTGTTTTGTTTTTTTGAGACAGGGTTTCACTCTGTTGCCAGGCTGGAGTGCAGTGGTGCGATCTCAGCTCACTGCAAACTCCACCTCCTGGTTTCAAGCAATTCTCCTGCCACAGCTTCCCGAGGAGCTGGGACTACTACTCGGGAAGCTGTGCCACCATGCTCAGCTAATTTATGTATTTTTAGTACAGACAGGATTTCACCATGTTGGCCAGCATGGTCTCGATCTCTTGATCTCATGATCTAACCCCCTCAGACTCCCAAAGTGCTGGGATTGATTACAGGCGTGAGCCACCGCACCCGGCCTAGGAGGTGTAAATCTAGCCTCATTCTGACAATGAGGCTAGACCCTAGACCCATTAAATCAGGATCTCTGGGAGTAGGATCCAGGCATTAGCATTTTTTTTTTTTTTTTTTTGATATGGAGTCTTGCTCTGTCACCCAGGCTGCAGTGCAAAGGTGTAATCTCAGCTCACTGCCACCTCCACCTTCCAAGTTCAAGCTATTTTCCTGCCTCAGCCTCCTGAGTAGTTGGGATTACAGGCACTGCCACCACACCTGGCTAAGTTTTTATTTTTTAGTAGAGACGAGGTTTCACCATGTCAGCAAGGATTATTTTGATCTCCTGACCTCGTGATCTACCCAACTCCGCCTCCCCAAGTGCTGGGATTACAGGTGTGAGCCACCTCGCCTGGCCAGCATCAGCATTTTTAAAAGCTCCCTGGTGGTTCTAATGTGAAGCCCAGGTTGAGAACCATGATCCCAGCATCACTTCTCCAACAACTGTTGTTTTCCTGCCTTCTCTCTGGATAACTGGACATTGGGGCCACTTCTCATCTGGCTTAATTTGTGTTTTCTTTATTCTTTGACCTTTGAGAGCCATGATATAGAGTCAGGGGCATCTTATGCTAAGTGAAATTTTAATCTGAACTTCTTTTGCTCCAGATGTCTTATTTCTCCTTGGGTCCTGTATCTTTATCAAACGCTGATTTGGCATCCCTGAAAAAATCATTCGTTTTATTATTCAATAATGAGGTACACAGATAGACCTATCATTTGGGTTTGAATTCCCTGGTCATTTGTTTCCACATGATGAATAAATGAACCTTTTCATAAGACAATGCTTAATGATAGTAAGGAAAGAAAATCAGTCTCAACAGTAGAACAGACTTCAAATTTTTACTGGATAAATGTAGTGACCCCTTTCAAACATATGTCACCAGTGTTAGAAGCAAATTTTCAGTGCCACAAAAGAAATAGCACTCGAACATACATTTTGTCAGCAAGGCAAATTTACTTCTATAGAGGGGTGCATCTCACAGATGGAGCAATGGCAAGATCACACCAGACAAGGGAGAGGAAGGGATTCTTATCTGCAACACAGTTAGTCCCTACTGCTGTGTCGTTCCCTGTTGGCTAGGGTTGGACCACACAGTCTAAGCTAATTCTGATTGGTTATTTTAAAGAGAGCAGGGGTATGAGCCAGAGTGGCAGGGTAAGTAGTTTTGGCTGGGAGGATGGTTACAGAGCAAATGACTAAGGATGACTAAGGATGGAGCAGGTAACTAGGGATGATGAAAGACTCTAAATATGTGAGTATAGCGCTTAGGAGGGGTTGTTTACTGCAACTAGGGGCAAGGAGGTGTAAAGAATGAGGAAGTTAAACTTTAAAATGGAGAACAAAGAACAGGGAAATTGAACATACTGACATACTGTTTCTTTGAAGAGGAACTCAGAACTCATTGTACTTAACAATGTTCCTCTTCTTGAATTTTAAAGGAAGTTAACAGGCTAAACCTTTGAAGAGGAGTTTACTGTATTCTATAGCAGGGTCCTTCTACACAGCTGTTTTAAAGTTTACCGACTTATGACATAAGATCAACGTTTCTCTTGGCTACGGTGCTATCTTGTGTTTAGCCGAGTGCTATAGGATGCCTCCTCTCTTGCTGACTACAAAGCCATTTTTGAAAGGTGTCTGGGGTTGAATTCTATGTAAAAGCAAGCCTGGGGGCAGGTGTGGTGGCTCATGCCTGTAATCCCAGCACTTTGGGAGGCCAAGGGTGTAGATCACCTGAGGTCATGAGTTGAAGATCAGCCTGGCCAATGTGGTGAAACCCCATCTCTACTAAAAATGCAAAAAAAAAAAAAAAAAAAAAAATGCCGGATGTGGTGGTGCACGCCTATAGTCCCGGCTACTTGGGAAGCTGAGGCAGGAGAATCACTTGAACCCAGGAGGTGGAGGTTGCAATGAGCCAAGATGGCACTACTGCACTCCAGCCTGGGTGACAAGAGCGAAATTCCATCTAAAGAAAAACAAAGTAAGCCAGCTATTGTGCCAGACCCCTGTTGGCTGCACTGGTGATGGCACCGTGTTTGTGAGGCTGGAGAAGAGGCTGGGAGTCAGCGAATGAGATATAGGGTTTACTGAGAGGACTTAACATACAGGGCAGCCCAGTGGCTGCAGGTTGGACTGGAGAATGGCAACCATTTGTAAAAAGCATGCAGCTTATGTAGATTTTCACCTAGCACCTTCCCCCTAGCAACCTCCACCTGGCAACCTTCATTTAACCCAAAAGAAAAGGCTTGGATCCCATCTATGACTCGCATTCCACGGGAAGGATGAGGGGTTCAGATGCCCATTATGAATGAGGAATGAATCTCCAGGTTGGCCCCACTTCCCAATTCCTTAGCTCAGAATTCCAAACACACATTCTTCATAGACCATAGGGTCATTCTCAGGGTATGCTTAAGTTATTGCTGTCAGGTGAATCCTCCATACACGTGTGATTTTTTTTTTTTTGAGACAGTTTCACTCTTGTCACCTAGGCTGGAGGACAGTGGTGCAATCTCGGCCACTGTAACCTCGCTTCCCGGGTTCAAGGAATTCGCCTGCCTCAGCCTCCCAAGTAGCTGGGACTACAGGCATGCGCCACCATGCCCGGATAATTTTTTGTATTTAGTAGAGACAGGGTTCACCATGTTGGCCAGAATGGTCTCGATCTGCTGACCTCATGATCCGCCCGCCTCAGCCTCCTAAAGTGCTGGGATTACAGGCATGAGCCACCGCTCTCAGCCTATATTTTGAATTTGTATTGATTTAGTCTTTATGTTACGCTTCCAAATCTTTGTGTTTTTCCATAGAAGTTGGGTTTTCTGTTTTCATCCCTAGCTAGATGGACTTACTGTCAGGATTCCACAGTTCCAGGGCCAGGAAGAGAGCCTCCCCTCTTCTTAGAACATGTGGAATCATGAAGACCCCTGCCTTAGCCCAATTTCCCTCTTGCAGGAAAGTGAGAGTAAAGGACGAAGGAAGGAAGGAGGCAGAGCGCATACAAGGTGGGAGGTTAGCAAGCGGGCCATGGCTTCCTCAGCACCCACCGCCCGTTGCTCCCTCCGTGGGGGCTTGATGAAGGAGGCTGGGCCTAGCAAGAGTTCCCTTGGGGCACTTCCTTTCTCAGGATGCCCTGGCAAGGACCTCAGGTGATGAGGCAAACTTGAGAGTAGAGAAAGTGGCAGCCAGTGTCAATGGCTGCAATGGAAATGGCAGCATGGCCCTGGCAGATGGCAATGAAAACATAAAAAGCCTGAGGAAAGTGGGCATACTGGGACGGCTAAATCATCTGAGATCAGAAGAGCCACCAGGAGAGAATGTATGATGGGTGGGCCCAGAGAACATGTGATTCAACAAGACCATCAGGAATGCTCAGGTGAGAGACACCAACAGTACTAAATAGGAGAGCTGGTCACAGAGCTGGGCTCATCGCTACCCATGGCAATGAAGCTCCTCTACCCCCAGGTCATAGAGGCCAGGTGGTGGCCTTTGGCTTCCAGATGCCAGGAGGCCACAATTACCATAATGGCCAGCAGAGTTTGTCATGCAGCCAACAGGGCCTGGCCCACACAGAGTTGTGGTCCACCGAGCACAGCATCCCCCTGGGGTAGAATAGATGGACAACCTACTGATATGCTGCTTAGCCTGTCCAGCCAACAAGAGGCACAAGTGAGACGCAGGAGGCTCAGAGCCCTAATACGAACTTATAGTCCCTTGCTCAATTGCTTTGACCTAAGCCAATTTTCAGATATAGAATACATGGACTGAAGAGGTGGCTGGGTCTCTAAGAAAGAACTCAGCACCACTGTGGCAAGAAAAGAGGATTCCCCTAATCTTTCTCTGGGGGACCCATGGCCATTTACTTGGGTGATTGTACACAAAAGAAAAAGGAATCCCCCCCATATCTGGAGGGCTACTCTGTCGGGGTCCGGCACGTCTGCCGGGGGACTACCGACCCGCAGGAGTCCCCGAGACCGCCAACGTAGATGTCTCGTTCAACCTGAGAGAGAGAGTGCGCGGAAAAGAAAGAATATAGAAAAGTAGAGTCTGGAGGGCTGCGTGAAGATTATGGCCAAAACGCAGCAAATTTATTTTTGTGGGTTACAGCTTTTATACCTTTTGTCTTGTTTACATTTACGTCATCTCAGCAGAAAGAAACAAAGGGGAAAACAGAAAGGAAACAAAAACTCCATAAAATAGATATCCGGGGCTTGATATCCTGCTCAGGAAGCAGTTTAAGGGGGCTAATGGTAGTAGTTTACATTTCGATGATTTTACATTCTAAAGATACAATGGCGCCCTTAAGGTGGCTGGTTAAACCTGTTTTGCATCAGGAACTAGAACAAAGGCTTGGCTCCAGGGAAAATATGGGCAGAGGTCTCTGCTCTTCTTAGACATTTCAATTGCAGCAAGTTTATTGCTTACACAGAGACTGAAGGGGGACATGGAAGCAGACAGCACAATGTCCTCATAAACTGCAGGCCTTTGCTTTGCATTCTGTTGTTGCTTTTAGTGAGTCAGCTTCCGGCCCTGTCTCACTCGACAGCCCTCGAGGTAAGGAAATGCAGTACAGGTCCAGCAGCCAAACTGAGACGAATCAACTAACTGTCTCGAGCTTTTGGCGCGAACACCACACTACTCGATGTAGCATCTGAGTTGAAACAGACACCTGGAGACCCAAAGCTTCATAGTGGTCTCCTTGCTAGACTGAGGGGCTGTGGAGGCCAGCCGATCAATGAAGTCCCACCTAAAGTCTGACACACTCGTGTCAGACTGGCCTGAAAGTGGAGGGACATTTATTCCAGGAGACACAACATTCCCCACCTGAGGTGGCTGCAGGGCAGTGTAACAGTTCTGTTAGAGCAGGAAGGGGAGGGGGAAGAGAATTTTTATCATCTTTTATTAGTCATCTTTATTTTCTAAATTTTCTGGAATAAGCTTTCAGTATTAGTGTGAACCAGTCATCAAGAGTTCCTCATCTGGTGTGTTTTCCTGGATGCACAGTGTGGATCCTGCCAAAGGATAGCCCACCATCCTTCAGAGAGGTAAGGTTCAAATCCGAAGGAATGAAGCCCAGGAGAGGTTACCTCTTTGCAGAGGTGATGAAAAACACTAGAAGAGACAGGCCCTGATGTCAACTCAACGAACACCACCCACGTGCCAGGCACTGAGCCGGGCACCAGGATACAGAGATTAATCCAACTTGTCTTTGAAGTCCAGAAGCCCCCAGACCAATAATCAATAAGTAGCCATGGAAGACTTCTCACTAGGGGAGAGGCCACCTCCGTGGGCCTCTCTCAGAACTTGGGATGTCAGTGTTTATTCACTGCTGGGAAGAGCTGACCTTTGAGTTGTTTTCCTAGTTGCAGAAAGTCCTCTGATCCGCCACCTGCATGGGTAAGATTCGGCTGGGTCAGGGCCAGAGCTCCCCGCTGAGCCTGCAGGGCACTGGGCCTGCTATGTGTAAACCAGCAGAGCGGCTTCTCACCCACTGCCCAGGCTGGCAGCCTTCTAGGGAAATCCGTAAAGAAAACACATTTTTAGGTGTGACATATTTTCTCCTGGGTTTCTGCTACCTTGGAAGCAAAGAAGGAGAAATAACTGGCAGTAGCTGGCTGAACAAAATTCCACGGGCTTGGAAAGGCAATTCTCAGACCTGTGGTTGGGTAGCCCAGTGCCTGGCACAGCGGCTGATTGTGAGAGACTTCCGGTTGCTGTTGTTGAGAGGCTTCCGGTTGCTGTTGCCCCAACGAGGCAGTGGGGGTGCCTCCTCACAAGAGAGAGGACCAGAGACCACCCTGGAGGGGAATGGGTCCCTTCATGGTCACCAAATTTGTTGTAAACAGACGCTCGGTGCTGCAAAGAAAAATCAGCACGGTTACCAGATGTGTCTGAGAGAAATCAGAGATTGTTACCAGATGTGTCTGAGAAATTGTACAAAGTGTATTTTTTGGTTATTGTTTTTATTATGAAGTACTAAATGTTTGGAAAACTCTGCCCCTACCGCAAAATCTCTCTCTTTCCCTCCCCCCACAAAGAGGCTCCCTTATCTCTCACTTTACATACCGGCCCTAGCCCTCCCGCCGCCCAGCTTCCCGCCCAGCAGTTCAAACTGACCAACAGTTGCCCACCACCTCGGCTTTTGGCTTCCCCACCCCCCAGCCCTTCAGCCCCCTATAAAACAACCCTGCCCCTCTGAGCGGCGCGGCCATTCTCCTCTTCCTCCCGGCTGGTCCGCCCGGAGGCTCTTTCCTCTCAATAAAGCCTGAACTTAAGGAATTTCCTCTAGCCTGCGGTCCGGTTTCTTTCCCAATGAGCCCAGTCTTCCCGCAGAGGGTAGGTCGGACAAATGGTGCCGGAAACCCGGGACGGGAGCTGAGGCCGTTGGCCCGGCCACGGCCCCCCTCCCCGACCTACCCAACACTGGCCCTGCCACCTCCACGTTCCGATTAAGGTAAGCCAAGTTTTTCTTGCTTTGCCTTCCCCTGCTTCCCGTCTCCTCTTCCTACGGCACGGTGCAGTTGCTCCCTCTCCGGTGTTCCGCACGGACTCCTTGCCTAGTCTCGGCCGAGCCAAGGTAGTCTTCCATTCCGGCTCCAGGAGCCTTCCGAGGGACAGCCGCCAGACGGGGGACGCCCCTCTGACCGCTTCCCTTTCCGTACTTAATTGTACTCCGGGGAATTTGCAACGAACGGGGACGCCTTTTCGTTGCATCTGCCCATCCGCGCCGGAGAGTCTGTAGCTGTGCCTGCCATGGGAAATTCGGAGTCCAAAATACCTCTGAGCACCCCCCTTGGGTGCTTGCTGCGAATTTTACCAAATTGGGATATTCCCAAACCCTCAGAAAGAAAAAGCTTATCTTCCTGTCTCAGGTGGCTTGGCCCCAATACAAACTCGGTAACCAGTCACATTGGCCCCCGACTGGCACTTTTGATTTCAACACCCTCCGAGATCTCGACGATTTTTGTCGCCGCATGGGCAAGGACAATGAAATTCCTTACGTCCAGGCTTTTTGGGACCTCCGTACCCACCCCAACCTATGTTCTTCCTGCTCCACCTACCAAATCCTCTTATCTCGAACCCCCCGTAAATCTTCCTCCACTACCTCTCCCCCTCCCTACTCCTCACCGGAGGATCTGCCTGAACATCTGTCCTCTCCTGCCAATCTCAGCAACCACTCGCCATCAACGGCACGCCCTTCCCCCACTCCCTCTGCACCTCCTACCTCAGAGGCCATGCCTCGCTCTCCCTCTACTCCCTCTGAGCCCCCTCCCTCAGAGGCTGCACTTCCTCTTGCCTCTCCGGTGGCGGCCCACACCCGCTCCCACCAGCCAGCTATCCTGGCCCCACTCCGAGAAGTAGCAGGCGCAGAAGGTTTAATCAGGGTCCATGTTCCTTTCTCACTCCAAGACCTGTCCCAAATTGAGCAACGTTTAGGATCCTTCTCAGCCAACCCGTCCACCTATATTAAAGAATTCCAATACCTCACTCAAACATAAGAAGCCCTAGTCCGGTACACTCGACTAGATCCAGCTCCCAAAACGGGGCCACTGTATTAGCCTCCCACTTTATCTCCCAATCAGCACCCGACATAAGAAAGAAACTAAAGAAAGCAGAAGAGGGGCCAGAGACTCCCATCCAAGACCTGGTAAAAATGGCCTTTAAAGTATTCAATGCCAGGGAAGATGCGGCTGAGGCTGCCCGCCAAACTCGCATGAAGCAGAAGGCTGCCCTCCAGACCCAAGCCCTAGTGGCGGCTCTAAGGCCGGCAGGGAACCAGAAGCCCAAGGCCGAAACCCATGCCCCTCCAGGGGCATGTTTCAAATGTGGAAAGGAAGGACACTGGTCCCGAGCCTGTCCACAACCATGGCCACCAACTAAGCCTTGCCCTATCTGTTGGCTCCCGGGACACTGGAAGTCAGACTGCCCCAGCTTCCCCAGGGTGCCGGTTCCTCAAAACAGACACACTGGCGTTACGCAGCCGGCGGTCACCCTCAGTAGGGAGGAGCCTGCTTGCCAGGAGCCGACCTCCGAGGGAGCTCCGTTCCCCAGTCTACTAGGGCTGCTAGATGACTAGCGGGGCCCTGGCTTTCCGACTCCGGTTACCCTCACCGAGCCTAGGGTCACAAGACATGGGGGCTACCTACTCCGCTCTTCCTTCTTATTCTGGTCATCTCACCCCTTCCCAGGTCTTAGTCATGGGAATCGATGGGACCCCGAGTATTCCCTACCAAACCCCACATTCCCTAGGCCGAAACTTCCCTAGCTGTAACAGAACTATACGGGTAACCACTAATATAACAGCCCCACGAGGAACGTTTTTCAGGTGTAACAAGACCTTAACAAAAACTCTCTACATTGGCCTTTCCTCATCTCTTTTATGCCTCCCGGTAACCCTAGTCCCTTGACTCACTATATATTCCCCAGCCGAATTCCAGATGCTGCAAACTCCCCATCGCCGCACCTGATGAGCTGCCTTCCTACCCATTGCCGTTGGAGTCTCCCTTGCTGGTTCAGCACTTGCAGCAGGATTAGGAGGAGGGGCACTAGTCCACTCTCACCTGGCTATGGCCCGACTGACCTCGCAATTCCAAGCAGCTATTGATGACTCTACTGAGTCTTTAGCATCACTCCAACGACAGATCACCTCAGTTGCCCAAGTTGCCTTGCAGAACCGAAGAGCCCTAGACCTGCTCACTGCTGAACGAGGAGGGACCTGTATCTTCCTACAAGAAGAGTGCTGTTACTACATCAATGAATCCGGCCTAGTAGAAACCCGAATCGAGAGCCTCCAGAAACTCAAAACTAACCTGCAGAGTCAGAAGTTCTCGGCTGAAGCCACAGCGTGGTGGTCTTCCTCTATGTATACCCTCTTGTCCCCATTGCTTGGGCCCCTAGTAGCTGTTTGCCTAATCTTACTTATTGCTCCTTGCTTTCTACAGTTCCTATAGCGGCGCTTTCAAGAACTGACTCGAGTCACCATCCACCAGATGCTGCTCCAACCCTACCCTGAACGAGTGCAAGAAACAGACCTCTCCCCGAACATCCAGGCTCGTTAAGAAAAGAGACCTCTTCAGAACCCCCATCGACCCTTGTCAGCAGGAAGTAGCTAGAGAGACAACCGACGCCCCTGACCCCCTCTTTTTCTTTTCTTTAAGGAGTCGGGAATGTTTGGAAAACTCTGCCCCTACCGCAAAATCTCTCTCTTTCCCTCCCCCCACAAAGAGGCTCCCTTATCTCTCACTTTACATACCGGCCCTAGCCCTCCCGCCGCCCAGCTTCCCGCCCAGCAGTTCAAACTGACCAACAGTTGCCCACCACCTCGGCTTTTGGCTTCCCCACCCCCCAGCCCTTCAGCCCCCTATAAAACAACCCTGCCCCTCTGAGCAGCGCGGCCATTTTCCTTTTCGTCCCGGCTGGCCTGCCCGGAGGCTCTTTCCTCTCAATAAAGCCTGAACTTAAGGAATTTCCTCTAGCCTGCGGTCCGGTTTTTCCCGAACGAGCTCAGTCTTCCCGCAGAGGGTAGGTCGGACACTAAATGCTCTGACAAATTTGAACAGATGGAAGTGTGAGATGAAAACTACCCTATCTGTCCCTTCTCTTAGTAACCAGAGGTAATAACTCTCTTGTAATTCCTTCTAGGTAATTTCTTAGCAAATGTAAACATAAGCATATATATACAGCTATAGATAGATATAGCTATGTAGATGTACAGACATACAGTTGGTTGTAGTTTGCATCAGATCCTCGATTAGCTTTTCTCACTTAATGGTGTATATTAAAGATCTTTCACACAGGCCTGTCACTCCTGGACTCAAGAGACCCTCCCACCTCAGCCTCTTGAGTAGCTAGAACTACCATGCCCAGCTATTTTATTTTTTGTAGAGGCTAGCTCTCTCTATCTTACCCATGGTCCCAAACTCCTAGGCTCAAGCAATCCTCCTACCTCCGCCTCTTGAAGTGCTGGAATTACAGGTGTGCACTGCACCTGGTCTGTTTGCTTGATTTATAGCATTTTCATATGTAATCGTGTGATACATGGGTATGCATTTGTGTACTGTTACTTTAACCCTGCAAATGTTAGGGGTGGGTCATATCTAAGTTTCAGATCTCTTGTCAACCTGCTGGTGAAAAATGGTGTATGTAACTTTGTGTATTTTAAAAAATTAATAAAGTTGCTGGGCACGGTGGCTCACGCCTGTAATCCTAGCACTTTGGGAGGCCGAGGTGGGTGGATCACCTGAGGTCAGAAGTTCAAGACCAGCCTGGCCATCATGGTGAAACCCCATCTTTAAAAAAAAAAATTAATAAAGTTGAGCGCCTTTATATATGTTTCTTAGCACACTTAGGAAAAATTTGCCTTTTTTCCTGTGCACCACCTGTTCATATCCTTTGCTCATTTCTTTCTTTTTAATATTGTTTTATCTTTGTGTATTAAGTGTTCTTGGTGTATTAATTAGCTCTTTGTCATATGTGTTGCAAATATTCTCCTTCCCTCTTTTTGTTATTTATCTCTTGATTTCCTTGAGGATATATCTGAAATATGCAAATATATAATATATAAATATTTACATGCATAAATATAGTATATAACATAAAAATGTTTATAAGTATAAATATGAACCATGTTAACATTTATTTTTTGCCATATAAATGTTCAAATATTTTCTTTGTTCAAATGTATTCATCATTTTTCTTTTTTCTTATTTCTTTCTTATTTTTAAAGTTTTATTTATTTATTTTAGAGACAGGCATTGCTCTCTTCCCCAAGGTGAAGTATGGTGGTGTGATCATAGCTCACTGCAGCCTCCCAGACTCAAGTGATCCTCCCACCTCAGTCTTCCATGTAGCTAGGACCAAAGGCACACACTACCACACCCAGCTAATTTTTGTAGTTGCAGAGATGAAATCTTGTTATGTTGCCCATGGTGGTCTTGAACTCCTGGGCTCAAGCAGTCCTCCAGCCTCAGCCTCCCAAAGTGCTGGGATTACAGGCATGAGCCACCATGATGCCTGGCTAGCCAACTTTTAAACTGTTTGTAGAGACAGAGTCTCAGTGTGTTGCCCAGGCTGATCTCTCTAACCTCCTGGCCTCAAGCAATCCTCTTGCCTCAGCTTCTTTTTTTTAAAAATAGCCATTAGTTACATGCTATTTATTTGTATTTTAAAAACCTAACTTTAACCAATGCGACTGCCTTTAAAAAAAAAAAAAACCTAACTCACTGTGGGATCATTTTTTTAAAGAAAAACACATGTTTTTTTTCCCCAAGAGTGAGCTACCACGTCAGGCTGGAGTTTCTTTTTTTCTTTTTCTTGTCTTTCCTTTTCAACAGACAGGGTCTCATGTGTTGCCCAGTCTGGCTTTTCTTCCCAGCACATTTGAGCATATCATTATATACGGAGCAGTCCAAAATCAGTTGCAGGGAGAGTAAAAGGAAGGCAGAATAGGAAAATATATTTGAAGAAATAATGGCAAAAAAATTCAAAATTTGATTAAACTGCAGACCCACAAATACAAGAAACTCAATGAACCCCACATATAAGAAATGTGAAGAAAATGACACCAAGGGACATCACAATCAAATTGCTCGAAATCAATGATCAATAGAAAACCTTAAAAGGAACCAAAGGAACATTTAGGAAAAATGTATAGATGAACAAAGATTAAGATGACACCGGATTTCCCATTGGAAAAACACGTGAGCAAAAAGACATTGGAAAGCCTGGTGCAATGGCACACACCTGTGGTCCCAGTTATTCGGGGGCTGAGGTGGGAAGATCACTGGAGTTGTGGCCAGCCTGGGCAATACATGAGACCCTGGCTGTTGAAAAGAAAAGGCAAAAAAAGAAAAGAAAGAAAAGAAAATCTGGCCAGATATGGTGGCTCACTCCTGTAATCCCAGCACTTTGGGAGGCCGAGGCGGGTGGATCACAAGGTCAGGAGATCGAGACCAGCCTCACCAACATGGTGAAACCCAGTCTCTACTAAAAATACAAAATTAGCTGGGCGTGATGGCGTATGACTGTAATCCCAGCTACTCAGGAGGCTGAGGCAGGAGAATCGCTTGAACCCTGGAGGCGGAGGTTGCAGTGAGTCGAGATCGCGCCATTGCACTCCAGCCTTGGGGACAGAGCCAGACTCCATCTCAAAAAGAAAATCTGTAAGCAAAATCCTTTAAAAATCCTGTTAAGTGGAATTCCTTCATAACCTTCATAAATGAAGGAGGTGAAATGAAGTCTTTTTTTCAGACATAAAAAAGCTGTAAGAATTTATCCCAAGTGGACCCACACAACAAGAAAGGTTAAAGGAAGTCCTTTAGGCAGAAGGAAAGTGATATCAGATGAAAATACGAGTATATATAAAGGAATGAAGAGCAACTCTGTGGGTAAGTATAGAAGTTCTTTTCCTTATTATATAAATCTCTTTAAAAGATAAATGTTTAAATAAAACTGAGAACAATGCTGTGTAGGCTTTGTAGCAGAAGTAAATGTAAAAATGGCAGCAGGAAGTTCAAGAGGGGAGAAATGAGATCATCGCATGGTTCCTGTACTAGACTATAGTGTACAGTATATCACTTGAAGGTAGAGTGGTTAATGATAGATGCTATAAACCCTTTCAATTTCCTTTCTGGCAAACTGGACACATCTAGTTTAACGATTACCTATTCCTACTCATAAAAAAAAGGGAAGTTGTTTTGGAAACAGATCCACGTAATGCCGTTTCAGCTGTCTTCCCCACCGCAGTCTGTCTTTGCAGCCATGGATACGGTCCTGTAATAGCTAACTGATAATGTAAAGGCAGTGTTTACTTACTGGCAGCAAAGAGTAAAAACGGGTAACTCATTTTGTTTCAACTTTACTTATTTCTCTGTCTCTCTCTCTCTCTCTCTCTCTCACTCACTCATCTGTCTCTATTACCTATTAACTCTCCAGGTTAGTGGCTTCCAGTAAGGAAAATCCTTGCTCAGTTGTCTGAGTTCTGCTTGCATCTATCAGGTTCTGTTCCTCCAGGGCTGAAAAGAACCTGGAGAAACAGCCCACAAGTTGCAAAGATAAAAGGAAGGTCCCAGAGACCAGACCAAAAGGTATGAACTAGGGCCGGGCATGGTGGCCGGGGATGAACTAGGGCCGGGCATGCCTATAATCCCAGCGCTTTGGAAGGCCAAAGCGGGTGGATTACCTGAGGTCAGGAGTTCGAGACAGCCTGACCAACGGGTGAAACCCATCTCTACTAAAAATACAAAATTATCTGGGCGTGGTGGTGCATGCCTGTTATCTCAGCTACTCAAGAGGATGAGGTAGGAGAATCGCTTGAACCTGGGGGGCGGAGGTTGCAGTGAGCCAAGATTTCACCATTACACTCTAGCCTGGGCAACAAAAGCAAAACTCAGCCTCAAAAAAAAGGTGTAAACTGCTGACTGGTACTGAAGGCAGCGCAGCCAGACAGAACAGGCTGGAGGTTTAGCTGGGGTTTGTATGTCACTCTCCTAAAGTCTGGGTTCTAATTGATACGCCTTCTCACTCTTGTCAGGATCATCAATGATTTCTGCATGTTGTTAAATTCAGAGGTCAATTTTCAGCAGCATCTGGAGCACTAGATCACTTCTGCTTCTTTGACACCTGTTGCTCACCTGGCTTCAGAGAGCTCGCTCTTTCTTGGTTCTTCTGTCAGCGTCTCTGCCTGTTCCTTTTTTGTCTCCTTTGCCAGTTCTCTCTCGTCTCTTAGACTGTTCAGTATCAGAGGGCTTCGAGGATCCACTCTGCAACCACTTCTTTTCTCTGCTACAGTCACTCCCTTGGTGATCTATTCCAGGTTTAAGAAATTGTCATTTCTTGCCCAGAATATCTTCCAGACTGAATTACGGACTCCATCTCTCCCTTTGGAGGTATAAACATCTCAAACTTAACATGTTGAAAACTGAACTCTAATCTTCCACTTCAGAGTTCAAATTTCCCTTTTCTGGGCTGGGCATGGTGGCTCACACCTGTAATATCAGCACTTTGGGAGTCCAAGGAGGGTGGATCACGAGTTTGAGACCAGCCTGACTAACAATGGTGAAACCCCGTTTCTACTAAAAACTACAAAAAAATCAGCCAGCTGTGGTGGTAGATGCCTGTAGTTCCTGCTATTCAGGAGGCTGAGGCAGGAGAATCACTTGAACCTGGGAGGCAGAGGTTGCAGTAAGCCAAGATTGCGCCACTGCACTCTAGCCTGGGTAACAGAGCAGGACTCCATTTCAAAACAAAAACGAATTTCCCTCTTTTCAGTTAATGGAAATATATCCTTCCAGTTACTCAGGACACAAAATCTTCAGAGTCATCCTTGCTATCTCTCTGTCTCTCTGCTTTACCTAAAAAGGATCCAGTAGCAAATCCTGTAGACTTTATCTTCTGAGCATATTCAGAATAAGCTACTTCTCACTCCTCTGCTGCCTCCACCCTGGCTTGAACCACCATCTGCTCTCTCCTAAGTTATTCTAACTAGTTCTAATTGGTCTGCTGCTTCCATCCTTGACCTGCTCCTGCGTATTCTCCAAGTAGCAGCCAGAGGGATTCTTTTAAAATCGAAGTCAGCTCATATTACTTCTCTGCTCAAAAACTGCCAGTGGCTGGGAGTAGTGGCACTTTGGGAGGCTGAATCAGGAGGAGCCCAGAAGTCTGAGACCAGCCTAGGTACATAGTGAGAACCCATTTCTACAAAAAATAAAAAGTTAGCTGATTGTAATGGTGCTTGCCTATAGTCCCAGTTACTCAGGAGGTTGAGGTAGGAGGATCGCTTCATCTGGGAGGTCAAGGCTGCAATGAGCTGAGGCTGTGCCACTGCATTCCAGCCTGGGTGACATCCTGTGTAATCTGGCCCCTGCTACCTCCCTGATCATGCCTCCTCCTTCATATCCCCTCATTGTGCACTCCAGCTACCCTGGCCCCCTGGTGCTGTTCTAACTCACGGTACATGCTCCTTACACAAGCTCCTGCCCTTAGCACTTGCTGTTCTCTCTGCATGGAATGCTCTTCCTCCAGCAGAAGCAGAATTACCAATAAACGAATGGAGCATAGCTTCCCGCCCTTTACCAACGTGGGCCCTCTCAAGGCCTTATACCTAATTTTGTATTGATAATTACATGCTCTATTTCTAAAAGAGGTTCTCAAAGTTGTATAAATTTTGGATCCCACAAATCTTGGATCTATT